TGGAAAGTCATTATGTCTGGTCATTGCTTCATAATATTACTCCAACAGGCTCAGGAGGCCAATGGAAGGAGATTTTTAAACAAGTATCAAGAAAAGACCAGAAAAATAAGAAAACAATTGAAATGCTACATAGATTGTAAGATTCATGTGATATACCATATTTCAGCAGAAGGAGAGTTTCAAAGTGTCATTTCTTTATAGCAGAAGAATACTAATATTTCCCATTGAAGGAAATCTGGTCCTCATCCAAATCTAAATGTTATGTTTTTCTTGTCTAAAGAGTATGATTCCTTGTAAACATCTAGTAGGCTTCTATAGGCACTAATTACAGGCTCTTCAAATAAAGTTAATTATGTGCAACTAGTAACACTTCTCATGGGAGGACATTTCTGTATCACTGCATTTGGGTGGGTGTGTAGGGAGAAGCAAAAGCTGAGAGGCTGGTACAGATGCTTCTAAGTATCAACCGGAGCTCAGCCATCATCTCTGCATTGTCCTCCAAGATATTACCACTTCACAATATGAAGAGTGACACTCTGGTCTACACATGTAGGCCAGACGTGGTTTCCCCCTTCACCTCTTTCTAGTCCTTCATTCTTTATCCTTAGGGGACATTTATGCCCCTGAACCAGAGAAGGAAGCAATGTAGCAAGTCAGACATACACATAAAATAGAAGAAACTTATCAGTAGGCAATGATAAGGCCCACAGGGCCTGTCCATAAAAAGAAAGAAAAATCCCAGTTCCTCAATTCCTCAAGGTAGGCACAGTGAGATCTTTCTTCCATATTAATCTCTATGTGCTAGGAAATCATTATTGTAAAGGTTTTGCTAATCGACTGATGTTAAAAGATTATACAATTTTACAGCTTAAAAATAACTTCAGAATTTGTACCATTTTCTCTTGCTATTTCATATGTATCTGTCCATCTCTCTGTCTACATATCCATCCACCCATTCACCTATGCCCCCATGCCCTCATACATGCATCCCCATCCATTCACCCATCCATTTATTCTTAAATTGCTCTTCTATGATTTCTAAGAATATCTGCTGGCTATTTGGAAGCTTTTGTCTTCTTGGCTCATAGACCTCTACAGTTTTCCTCTGCTCTTCCTGTACTGATTGTGGCAGCATGTACATCTTATAGTTATCTGTAGTTTACCCCATTTGTTTTATTTGGGATTCATGTTACCTGGATCTTTGTCATTTAGTTTTGTGGTAAATGTGGTCTATAAGTTTCCGATTTTGCTGCCTTATTGCTTTGTCTAGTTTAATAGGAGAGTTGGGGATTACTGCTATGCCAGTTCCTCAGCTCTATTGTAATTCCCTTGAAGAATAAATTATTTAAAAATCTTTGTGAGCTTTTTTGTTAGAAGGACCAGGTCTCAGTTCCATTTGAGCAAAGTACCTAGGGGCTCCATCAGAATTTGGCTTGAAATGTCACATTGCTCTAGACCTGTGGGGTTTCCAGTTGTTTCCCATTGCTTTTACCCTGAGAGGGACTCACAATGTCTGATTTTTAAATTTCATTCACATTGCATTTTTTTGAGGCAGAGTCTCACTAAGAAGTTTAGCCTAGAGTTGAACTCACTATGTAGCCTGGGCTGGCCTCAAACTTGTGGTGATTCTCCTGCCTCAAATTCCTGAGTTCTGGCATTATACACATACACCACCATGTCCAGCTCACATGGAATCTTAAGTTCTTTTCCTGCTCAAGTGTTATATGTCTACCCTAGACATATAATACATGTCACTCAACTGGCTAGTTACTTAGTTCCTGTACCTCTCCTGTATCTCTTGTCAATATTTAGAACTTCAGTACAAATTTAAGACTTATTTAAGCTAGATGTTTGGCTTTAATAAAACTCAAGATACATATATATATATATATCATATATAAAGCATATATATGATGTATACATGGTAAATATATGTGTGTGTGTGTGTGTGTATGTATATATATATATATATATATATATATAGTAACTCATATAGTATACCTAGTTACTTTGTAAAATTTCAGTGTTGAAGCATATTTACAGATCCTCTGACAAGGTTTCTTTCTTGGCATTTTTGGGATTTTGGGGTAGATAGTTCTTTGGAGACTGTTACATACATGGTAGGTAGTTTAGCAGCAGAGCTGGCCTCTACCCACTAGATGTCAGTAGCAACCCCCAGTTGTGACACCCCCCAAAATGTCTCCATTCCCACATGTCTTGGGTGGGAACGGGAAGGTGGATTATGGTGGCATGGTGGGTGGGGGTTGCCCCTGTTGAGAACCCCTGGACTAACAGTTTTCTCACTTTATAATTGAAGAACAGGTAGACAGAGGAACAATCATTATACATGTTTGCACCATTGTATCAAACTGTTCTCTAGATTCTCCTGGAGGACATAATCACAAAACATGGATAATTATGTCTACTAATATTTTATAGTTTGAAACTGAATGCTTAAAAGGTTTTGGAAATAAGAATATAGGCTTTTATGGACCAAATTATTTAGATGGCCTCTCCTGTGAATATTGATTGCAAGAAGAAAGAGTGTTCACTGTTGGCTCTTGGAATGCAGACTAACACTCCACCGGCATGCTTTTGGACTTTGGGGAGAACTGGAAAGTAGTTGTTAAGACAATGAGATCCTGTGGGTTTGTTGATTTCTAGTAAGAGCATTATTTTGAGATTGCTTTCTCTTGGTATTTCCTGTGATGGAGTTGGCCAAAATGAAGAAGAAAAATACTGCTAAGAATTCACCATCACTAAAGACTACTGGGAAGGCAGCCAAACTGGCAAAGGAACAGAAGGCTACTAGCATCTTTTTAACTAGTGGGAAGAATACTAAGTTCATTTTGGTAATGCCTTTCTCTGTCACCATCTGCTAGAGATTTATAACAATATACTGTTGCAAATCCTGTTATATCTTAAAACAGTTGGCAGAAATGAGGGAGAGAGAGAGAGATAGAAGGGACTAAAAGGACAGTGTACATTAAAAAATTTGGCAAAGTTTTTTGCTAAATATATCTTAATGGTAGCATCACTAACTCTTTTGGTGTTTTATCGAATAATGTCTTACTATTCGCATGTTTTTCCTAAAAGCATAAGTTTTAGATGTACTAGAAGAAGAATGTGGGGAAGACTTTCCTAAGTTTTAGCAGTAAAGCTGGCCTATGCAGTAGTTCATAGATGGTTTTAGGTTGGACAGTGATATATATGGGTGAAATATGTTTTCTAGATTCAACAAATCTTCTCTCTAACACTTTTTGTCGATGTTAGCCAGTGGAATTATCTCATAGGTAAGACTTCTAAAAAGATATCTTTTCATATCTTAGGAAATTGTTCACTCTTTCCTCATGGAATCCAGTGCAAGTGTTCCTTATTTTTATTTCATTTAGTGGCAAGTGATGTTGGAACAGCATGAAGATAGAAAATGAGATAGAGGGGATTGTAGGACCCTGGTCTCTTCCCCTTCCTCTCTCTCACATCCTGACCATAGGTGAATGGTTTTGCTATGTGGTCCTGCTATGATGTACTGTTCTGCCACAGGAACAAGAGCAGTGAGGCAACCAGTCATGGGATGAAGCCTACAGAACTGTGAGCCAAAATGAACCTCTTCTCCACATTAGCTGATTGCTACAGGTATAGATTACTGTCCCAGGGCACTCACTGACAGCAGGGAGGAATTAGTACCCACATGGACTCTCTATAAGTGCTCATTCCCACCCTTCCTCTGGAAAACTCTCTCCTGAGCAAGCTTCCACTGTGTATGACCTATCTTTGAGATCCACTGGTGACTGACACTTATTTTGAGATGATGTATTTTGCAACCATTCTCATATGTTTGACTCAGGTCACCTGATCCCAGACATGGAAATATTCTTTGGAAGTAATCAGTGACCTCAGAAGCAACTCCACTTCTAAAGCCTTCTTTGTGACATTAGGTTAGCAAGTATGACTCCAAGAGTGGGACACAAAGCACAGGACATTTTTTTAATTGTTCAGGAGGCACTGCAAGGACCATTTTGGTGGGAGAAAAAGAACAAGGTTGAAATTCAGAGAGGCACTTGCCCTTTGGTGGGGTTATTCTTTATTAGTATTCTTAGGAACTGTATCAGTGCTTTGGGGCTGTCTTCCAAAATGGCAATGAGAAAATCTGTGTTCTTCTAGGAGTCCCATTGAGTTATAAAACTATTTTTATTTCATCAAAGTTATTGTGCAGCTCTATCCTGATGAATATATGTCATAGGGAAAAACAGAACAATTTTTTGCATTTTCCTTTTTGTGTTTAATTTCAACCCTAGTTCCCATATGCATTCCAGAGACAGAAGGATCTAAGATTTCTAATATGTACAGTTATGTGCATTTTAACAAACTTTAAATTTCATAGATTAATGAAGCTTTCCTTTTCTGCTGTATGCTAATGAAGAATGGAGGAAAAGGAGGGAAGGAAACTCTTATATAGATTATGCCTGGGTAAGAATTTAGCTTTCATCAAGTTTACTGGTAATCCTAAATCTTCATATGGAAATGTAACTCATTTCTTTGAGCTGTTTACACATACATTCAGAATACTAAAAAGCAGGCATACATTTTTATCTTATACCCCTTATCTCTAATAAAAATCATTTTAGCATGAAATGATTAATAATGACAAATTTAATAGGATAAGTTAATGAGGGTTAATTTTGTATAGGGAAGAAAAGTGAAGGAAGAGAATAGAATTTATGTATCTTAATTTTCTGAATGTAGAGTTATCCAAGATTGTTTTGGTAAATTATATTGCTTTTATATGAAAAGAACAATTTGTCTGAAGAAATGTTTTGGAAATCATCAAGTGCTAATCAAATATTAGTGTTTACAACTGAAGATTATTTTTAATATAACCTGAGTTTCCTTCAGGCCTTACATAATGTGTTTGTGGGATAACCTTTACAGGAATAACACAAAATTCACTTGCCTGAATTCACTATAAACTCCAGTGTTCTTTCTCCTATTAAACACAGATTGAAAACAACAGCAGTAGCAACCACTAAACATAAAGTTATGCCCAGGGGCTGCTCCTCATACTCTCAGAAACAAGTTGGTCCAGGATGATTTCCAGGTATGACAGTTAAACTGAATTTTCAACTTGATTGGCCTGTGAGTCACCTAGGGGATTAGTAAAACACACCTCTGGTGTGCCTGGATTGGGCATGGAGGTGTGACAGTGGATATTATGTCTGGTCCCTGGCTGTTTCCTCTTTGGTGCTCTTCCCCTACTCTACTTCCTGGCTACTGTGAACTAAACATCTTTGCCACACCAGGTCCTTCAGCCATGAAGTTTCTAGCTTAGAGCCAGTCAACCATCAATTAGGTCCGCTGAAACCATGAGTCAAATAAACCTCTCCTTCTCTTAGTTTTGGGCATTGGATATTTTGCACTAGCAGTGGGAAAGTGGACTAAAGATACCAGGTGTTCTTCAATGCTTTTGTACTTTTCTATGTCTGTCTCTCTCTCTAGCTTTGTTGTATCTCTGGGGCAGGGAAATACTTGATTTGAGTTTGTACTTCTGTAATTATCTAGCATAGTACATGGTTTATTCAGGATAACCGGTAAATAACTGTTACATTGAATTAACAGATTTTCCTTTGTCTTCCCACACACTAGCTATTTCACCTGGGGGTGTATCAGCAGCTTGACTGTGCCCTCACCATTGTTATTAATGATGAAAATAATTTTTCACAGAATTTGTTCCCATTTGGAGTAGAGGGTTGGGCATGAATGAACTCTAATGTAAGTTACAATTTCCAGGGACTTTTATCATTTTAGTTAACATGGACTTTGGGTTCAGACAGACCTAGGTATGGATCTTGGTTTTTTTTTCTTTTAAACAAGAAGTTTATTTAAACAACAAGACACTTGACTTAAAGGGAAAACTATCTAGGATTCTTTTTCTTTTAAAGAGTAATTTACTCCTACATAAAGATGGATTGCCCTACATGTAACAGTTACATACAAAACAGTTATAAAATTGTCCTTGGTTTTACAATGATAAATGAAAAACATTAAAATTCTCCAATCAAACAAAGTATGCAAGGATTTTTATGTTGTTGTCTTTTCTGTTAAAACAGTGAGAACAAAATAACTTACTGGAATATAAAGATAAGAGCTGACGAGCATGCCACTAATGGAGAGAAGGAATTATTTTCATAGAACCAGTATCTCCCCATCCCGTCTCCAACTGATGTCAATCAAAACATATTGTTGGCCATTTAATTAAAAAAAATGCAATATGCTTGTGCACATACACCAGATACTTTATGTACAATAAAGGAATGGGGAAGGGGTAAATGAAAGAATAGAGAAAACTATACTGTAGTAGTCAGGATGTAGTGGAACCAAATTGCAGTTTTTTAAATTGAGAATGTATTCTTGGTCTGTAAGAACAGAGTTCTGGAGTAGAGTTGTTGCAGGTTCCCTTTTTAGTAGACACCTCCTGTATGCTGCTAGAACACATCAATTGTATCTTCGCCTTCCATTTCCAACTGTGCAGGTGTGTCTGTTTCATTGATTGGCTGTCCATCAAATTGGAATCTGATCTGCCTCATTGACAAACGCTGTTATTCACTATAAGCTTTCATTAGTTTACTAAGTGGTGTATGCCTCTTAATCTTAAACTGCACCACAGAACCATCCTGCCCTGCCACCTTCAAATTAATATGATCATTGTTCTCAGTCTTGACTCCTTCCTTGGGCTTTTCGTTGGCCATAGCGAGCACCTGAGTCTTCTCAGCTACCGCTTCACAAAAGAGGTACCAGGTCCGCACCAAACAAGCAAACAAGCAGCTCCATGAGCAGCAGAAGGAGGTGGCAGTGGTGGCCGAGGGAGAGGGCACGTGCACGTCATGCACTTCTTTCCCGCCTGAATCTTGGTTTTGCCGTCTGCTAGTGTTGTCTTGGGAAAGTTTCTCAACTTTGAATGGCTGAACTGGAGGTGCCCAATAAATATATTGTGAGTGAATGGTATGTGAGCTTCATTGCTATTTTCCCTAAAATGTAATATATAGATAGTGTTGTTAAATCATTCATCTGGCAAATTCAAAAGGAAGGTAGAAAAATATTTTGATGTTTTACAAACATACTTTTGGGTATTCACCTGCCAAGTTTTGTGCCCTTTCTACATACTTGTAGTTACTTCTGAATTATCTTTACTTATATATTTTTAATTTTAGGAAAGATTTGCATCTAAAATTATCTTGTATTACTATGACTTTCTTTTCTTCCATATATATGTTTAATTTTATCATCACAGCAACTGTCTGGGGTCATTGAAGTTATCATCCACATTTTACAGACCAGAGAGAAATCTCAACCCCAGAAACAATTTGCTTTACCTGAAGTTACAGCCATGTGCCTAGAACCTAGATTTTCTTAGAATCTGCCAGATCTTTCCCAGTACCCTATTGTTTTCTTAGTGAACAGGATTTTTAAAATGAGCTGAACATTTATTTATCTCCGCACACCAGGTCCTTTCCATGAAACACAAGAGGAAGGAGAGTGGAGCCCCAAGCTATTGGGTGGCTTTTATGCTAGTACATTTAGGCAACTTTTTTGATCTCTACAGTTTGTTTGTGGGTGGAATGTGGAAGAAGAGAAACAGAGAAATAGTCCATTAAGCCCGACAGCTGTGTTTGTGTTTGCAGCTGTTCCTGTGCACACAGCGCCACTGGGAGACAGAATAGCTGGTCTCATGGCCATGGACAGGCTAGAGGTGAGAGCAACACAGCCTCCTTTGTGGGCATTTGGGAATCACTGAAGCATGAGAAAAGTTAAGAAGAAATGCCAAAGTCGTGTTCAAACTAGGATTTTCCAGCTTGAAGCATGATTATCTCCTCTTTTAACAATAATAGACAAGCCCATGCCTGACAGGCTCAATGGTGCAGGTTAGCTCTGGTAGGGTAGGGCTGCTCGAGGTGGACTGGCTGCTGATGGTTTCAAATAGACCAAAATATTGGTTTCAAGTGTAGATTGTGGAGCTAATTGGGCACTTATCAGGTGTAGGTACTTTGGATCTAGCAGTAGGAAAAAATCCCTACTGTAATTGAGTTTACATTTTAGGAGAAATAAAAAAATAACAAAATCAATAAGTAAATGATATAATACATTAGAAGGTTATAAGTGCCATGGAGAAAAATTCATCCTGCAAAGGGATGGGATCCACTAATGATATTTTCCCTTCTTTTCTGGCCCATGATAAATATTTCTTGACTCAATATTTTAATGCTCAGCTCTTAATTCTTGGGCTATCTTGATTCTCTACTAACTCCATCTGTCTTTCTTTTCTAGGAAAGAGTAGGTTCTGAGGTTTGCATTTGGTGAGAGTATGTTGCCCTCCACATGGCAAAGATTCAGGAATGAATAAAGACAAGGAAAGGAATGAGCAGAAATGAAAATCATTATTGAGAGGTAAGTAGACATTAAAAGTCCATACTAAATTTCAGCTTTCTTTTCTTTCTGTTTGTTTTTTTCATGTATTTTGTATATCCATAATATTGAATTAGTTCTGACTTGTCTAAGACCCAGTTCCAAATGTAGAAATTTTTACTGCTCAGTGGAGTACTATTTGTAATCTCTATACCATCCTTTTTCTATTCAAAAGAAACTTGGGCATCTGCTGTCAGAATGAAAAGAAAAAGCCTCCATCAACACATGAAAGGAAGTCCAGACTGAGGGAAGGAAGAGTCTGCAATTACACAGTACCAGGGTCAATATTCAGAAGCCTTGGAGTCTTCCAGCAGTTATGGCCAAGAGGAGGACTTGCACCAACTTATCACAGCAAGTGAAGCTTTTCTTGCACTGTATTTCTTAAGGAAATTCTCACACTGGACAATCAGTGAGGGAACTGGACAATTTTGTCATTCACAGCTTTAGAGAGAACACAGATCTCTGATCTTCAGTTGCTTCCATCAGTTCTTCCCATCCTCCTGAGGCTTCTTAAGAAGTCAAGGGATGGGGCTCTGGAAATGTGCTTGAAGCCAGGTGGAGTTACCTTGTCTCCATGGCAAAGACAGGCAGGTGCTCAGGGCCTTTGGAGAAACAGGAGGATGTTTTTTTGTGACCATTCCTTAGCCTTCCATTTACTCTTGGACCTCTGTCTGTGACTATGAATAGCTTGGCCATGCAGCACAGTAAGACACATATTCTACCTAACCATCCCATGAGCACATTCACACTTGCCACATGTGTGCACTCAGATCATTTCAAACAATAATCCCCCAAATTCCCTGAGCAATATTTTCTCATGTCACAGTGAACTGCTCTGATTCTTAAAATGCTATCAATTCTATTTTTAAAGTGTTGCTTGTCACCAACTGAAAAATTAATTTCATGACTCACAATGGGTCATGACTTGTGATTTGAAAAACAGTACTCTGAATCCTTTGTTCTCAACCAAGACAGCTGTTCAAACTTTACTCATTTGTGTCCCTGGATGATATAATACATACCCACTAATGTATATATGTGGTAAAATATCCTTAGTGATTCTAGTGTGCCCCTTACCATCCCCTAGCCAATCCAAAGTGACAAGATGCTAGGAAAAATAAACAAAAGGGAGAGAAGAGGAAGAATTTTTCCTAAGATTTAGAGCACAGCTTGTCTTTTCTGTCCCAGAGAGTACCAGCTCCTAATAAAAAAGAAGTTCTAGATTCCAACTAGGACACAAGAAAGCTGGATGTGATGGCACATGCCCGTTATGCCAGAACTCTAGTAGGGTGAGGCAGGAGGTTCAAAAGTTTGTGTCTAACCTGAGCCACTCAGTGAGACCCTCTGTTAAAAGCTAATTAACTAAATATATTGATAGATGAATAAAAAATTTAAAAAGGGGCTGGAGTGTAGCTCAGTGCAAAGACTGTGTTTCAATCTCCATTAACACACACACACACACACACACACACTCACACCACAAGATATGAGTGATTGCACTACAGTTTCCAGGAGATAAATTGAATATATTCATGTTGTATAAATGACACTAAATCTGAGGTGAGTCCACCCTTACTTAAAGCTTGCCCTTTTATCCTTTATGTGTTTGAGAAAAGTTTTCCTTCAAGGCCAGAGTTCTAAATGCAATAGCATGCATGTGTTCTTGAAGGCAGATGATGACAGGGACCAACTCAAGCTATATCTCTACCTCCATCTTTATTGGATGTCCGGAGACCTGATAGGGTTTGAGCTAAGTGTTCCTGGATTTTAACTTCCCAGGATCCATTATACTAGGGTGGCCAGGACTTTTGCAGACAGCATCTACACAGTACAGAAATACACTGAATCCAACACCCACAGGGCAGTAATCTCTCTGGGTGTGAGCTTTCAGTCCACAGTTAAGCAGATGGGAAGTGTAGGACTTATCATATTTGATGACTAACATATTTGATACCCAAAGGAATCAGTCTTTAATAACTTTCTTTTATGCGACCAAATGATTTCCACTAATAATTCAGAAATGAAATAAAAATATGAATTGAAAAGAAATGTTGATATTTTAAAATTGATCTTGATAGGGTTAATCATGCTAGTAAAAATAAAATTAAAAACATAAAATAAAATAAATACTATAGTACCAAAAAAGAGAATTGTAGATTAAAACATTTAATTACAGGAACATGTATTTTAAAAGTCTTGTATGTCACAGTAATGAGTAATAACACAATAACTTTAATTTGTTTTTAAGCTCTAACTTCTCCAGATTTGTCAAGGACATTGTTAAAATTGCTCTGTGCCTTCATGTTCAGAGTTACTAGCAGATATGTCCATCTATCTTTGCTCATAGTTGACTGAAGGACATTTTTTATTAAATTGCAATTTACAACTTTTCTTTCCTATGAAGAGGCAGATATCTAAAAGAGGAAAAGGCTTAAATGTAACAATAGATTTATCAGAAGTTCTTAAATGATCCCATTTCACAAGAAAAATTCCAGAGACTTCAATACTATCCATTTTGTTTTTTCTTTACTTCAATTTTGAAAGCTTTCAAATGTCTCTGCATCCAAAATTTTCCACTAAAAATCTTTAGAGAAGACTATCTTAAATTTCTATCATTCAGTGAAATCTGAAGTGTTCCATCTTTTGCAACAATCAAAGAATGGCTGAACAGTAGTGAACATCAGCACTATTTAAAGCACTGTTTTATGCTGAGCTACAAAGCTGAACAGACTCAAGTTTCGTTTCTTCATCCTTACATCCACTGTGCTATTACCATTTATTAAGAAATTGTGTGTGTGATACCACAGTGATTGGAGGGTCCAGACCACGACCAAAGGAAGCTTGAGCTACTGTGTGATTGAAAGTTCTCTGAATTAGCTGCCATGTAGAATATGATGGTTATCACAGCATAAGCAATGCAAAGGTAATGCTTTGGAGCTTATGCAGTGTATTGTTAACATTCAGTGCTACCTGACGTTTAGAATTAACAGTGTACTGTGACATTACAAAGCAGACCAGCTTGTATCTGTTTTTTGGTAATGCTGGGGGTGGAACCCAGGGTCTTGTGTGCTAGGCAGGTATTCTACCACTGAGCTACATCCCCAGTTTGCTTGGTTTCCTCATTCTCTATTAAGTTCTGCACAGACAACCCCCTCCCTCGCCACCCCACCCCCCCATTGCCTGCACTGGGGGGCTCATCAGGAGTCCCATTTCTGGTACATCCTTGGGAACAAGACCTGGTGAAGATTGGAAGATTTGGTGCCTGACCTGTGTCCCAGTGTGATGCTTACTCACTTCTGCCCGCCCCCCAGATTGGTTCAGTGGCTCATCCCTCTCAAGCTTCTTCTCCTTCTGTACCTCAGTGGTGAGCTTCTAACCTGGGATTCTACTATTTCTCTGTGGGTAGAGAGAGGGAGGTAGACAGGGAGAGAGAAAGAAGAAAAACAAGTTTAATCTCCTGCAAGGCATTTGCTACAAGGGACATGAATCTTCACCTTGTATCGCATTCTGGGTCTCCAAGACCTGAGCCAGCAGCAATTGTTCTCTGTGGGTGTCGAGGGAAACTTGCTCTGCTGGAGCCCAGCCTCAGATAAGAGGCAGCACGTGCCAGGGGCCTGCATCCCAGCACTATATCCCCAGAGAAGTCACTGGTTGCTTGTGCAACTTCAGGCCAGATACCAAGTCCTCTGTGTGGAGCAACGTCCTCATGCAAGTGGCATCATAACAGTGCCCTCCTCACAGAATCTCTGTGGGGACTAAAGGAGACCATGTGTGCAAGGTGCCTAATCCATACCTGTGAATAAAAGAACATGCCATAAAAATTAGTTAGGACTTTTACTCTTCTGTATAATGATAATTAAAGACATGAGGGAAATACACGAATACAGACAATTCTTTCATAGGTTTAGTAAATATTACAAAAGTTGTTATTTCTGAGACTGACTTGATTCTAGTTTAAGTGAAAACTGGTTTGTCTCATTAGCAGTATTCTTTTATTTATTTATTTTTATTTATATATTTATTGGTACATTTTAGGTATACAATACATTTACATTTATCATTGGGTGTTTGTACCTGAACATGATGTATCTTAGTTCTTATTTTTTCTTCCATTACCTGTGTGCCCTTCACCCCCTCAGCAGTATTCTTTTAAAAGGCTACATCATTAGACATTCTGACTCCATGTACAAGGTGGGACTAGACTGAATCTGAGTACAAATGACAAGAGGATCTGGGACCTCAAGTTACCTTTAACTGTGCAGCAAATCACATTTCTATGAAAATCCAGGGGAACAACTCACTTAGAGGAGATGCCACAAGTGTGTGAGTGTGAGGAGCCAATCTTCACCAGTGGATTAGTACTTGATGAGTTCATAGCTGACTTGTTGTTCGGAGGGGGATCCAGTTAGTTGGAACAGGTAGGTCACTGGGGGCCTGGCCTGGAAGGGTTTATCTCTTCCTGGCTTCTTACTTCATTCTGTCTCTGCCCATGGATGCCAGGGCCTGAGCAGCTCACACCACCAGGCCTCTCTGCCACCCTGCCTTGGAGCCAGCAGGATGTGGACTGGGACCTCTACAAACTGTGAGGCAAAAAAACCTTTCTTCCCTTAAGGTGTGGGAGTAAGGTATTTTGTCCCAGGGACAAAGAAAGTGACTAAAATGGAGCTGTAACATTTCAGGAAGTGTCCTCTCCTGGCTGCTGACTTTAGTTCCACACACCAGGGTCCTTTTTATCCCTTTTGCCAGTGGCCACACAGCTGGGAATATTGATTGTGCTGCTCTAGCTGGCATTTTTAAGGATAAGGGTTTTGTCTTTTCCTTCACTTGTTTTGTTGAACAGAGGCAAGTGTTAGAAGCTAGTGTGGGCTCACTTTCATTTTAAGTCCAAAATAACGTTTGTCACAGGAACAGCAATACAAAATGCAAATAGGAATATTTTGATGGAATTTTTATAGGAGTTGTTTTTAGTGTTTGTATATGGGATAAGGTCATTTTAAAGTAACGTTTATCACCAGACACAAAAGAGCCTGTACTATTCTTTTAATATAAAATACTTATTTATTTAAATGTTTAAATATTAAGAACTGCCATGGACTTCTTCTGACAAGTGTCTATTCATTGCATTTGCCCATTTTTGATTGGGTCTTTTATTGTGAATGGTCTAAGGTTTTTTTAGATCTTTGTACATCCTACATATTACCAGTCCTCTGTCTGAGGAATAGCTGACAAAATTTTTTCACATTCTGTGGGTTTCCTTTTTCTCTGTTGATTGTTTCCTTTGCTGTGTGGAAGCTTTTAAATTTGATATGATCCCATTTGTTGATTCTCAATGCTATTTCTTGTGCAATTTGAGTTCTGTTCAGCAAGTCCTTGCCTGTGTCTGTGAATTCAAGAGTTTTACCTGCATTATCTTCCAGCAGGCTAAGTGTTTCTGCTTCAATATTTAGGTCTTTGAATCAACATGTAGTAATAAAAAATTTTAAAATAGTAAGAATGAACACCATGATTTCTGACTAGCTAGCTAAAGAGAATGCTTTAGGAGACATGTCTGTAAAAAAAAGATTCCTCAGGGAACCTTAATAAAATACATTCTATTTTTATGTGGACTTCTAGGAAACTGGAAAATTAAAACATGCTTAAGATGGTACATCTGTGCTTATATGATGCATTGGAACAAATGCAATTGTAATAATAAAAGGGCAATTCAGAGGTACAGCTGAGTTATGCCACTGATAGAATTCTTAAAGATAAAACTTTGGATTCTGATTTGGCTCATCTCAGATTTGTTTGATGGAAAGTAGAAAAATTGAGGGGATGTATTCTCTTTGTGTCACATGTATTTATTTCCTCCTGCTAACATAGTAATTATTTTTTCAGTGTAATTCTGGAAGCATTTATTGAGTACCTACTATGTACCAGATATTGTGTCAGGTGCTCTAGATGACTCAAAATTAAATAAGATGTACTTTACATCAGTAATCAAGACATACATTACTAACTGTGATATTTGTACGAATGCTGTGAATGCTACAGGCAAGTCTATCTTGATAGAGAGGTTCACAGGGAGGCAGATTCTGTTGGTGCTGAAGCAAAGGAAGAAGTTTGAGCCCAGGGATGTCTTGGAGGGTTTAGAGTGATGGAGGATGGACAGCAAGGACTCTGCACAGCAGAGTGAAGGGCAGAATAGGTTACTGCAGGCCTTACCTGCATGTTGGAGGCATTGCCTCCCTTCCAAAGCAATGGAAGAGCACCAGTGTTTATAGAAGAGCATGACAGGCAAGTTACTGGTGTTGATTCCTAATGGCCCCAAGTCTTCTGCAGGAGTAAATGGCAGGATTTCTGCTGAGCCCAAGAATTTAGCATTGAGATTGGGGATACTGGGGCAGTGTAGTCAAGTGCTT